AGACAGGTGTGTGGCTTTCCTAATCACGTCCAATCAGTATAATCAAACACCGCTGGACTCAAATGAAGGTGTAGAACCATCTCAGGGATGATCAGAAGAAATGGACAGCACCTAAGTTAAATATATGAGTGTCACAGCAAAGGGTCTGAATACTTATGACCATGTGATATTTCAGTTTTTCTTTTTTAATAAATCTGCAAAAATGTCATACATTCTGTGTTTTTCTGTCAATATGGGGTGCTGTGTGTACATTAATGAGGGAAAAAATGAACTTAAATGATTTTAGCATATGGCTGCACTATAACAAAGAGTGAAAAATTTAAGGGGGTCTGAATACTTTCCGTACCCACTGTATGACTTGCTAACATCTCCCACAAATGTCAACAGGCAGATTTATTGTCCAAATATTTACCCCTATATAATTAATAAAAAGGAGAAAGGTATTTCATCTTAATTCAATTTCATGAAACTGTGGGATTATAAAAATGCATTTTGCACGACAAAACGTCCAAAAACAAACCCATTTTAAAGATGTAAAGACTTGTGGATATAATCATTCTCTGGTCATAATTTGTAAAAGAGTAGGCTACGTTAAATTTAGAAATTAATTACTGGTGAGTTGATACATTATAATTTCCTAAGACAGATATTTCTGAGAAGTCAAAGTGTCGTTTTCTGGTCCCCAGATAAGATGTTTACTAGGAGGAAGAATGAAAACAAGGATTTTTTTCCCCATCTAACTTTTTCGATGCCATTCATTGGCGCTTTTCTGGTGTCAGTCAAACGTGGGCGGTGCCAGCTGGCACTTCCAGTAAGTCCTCACATGCTGAACAACACAGAGTCAGCAGGCTGCGGGGAGCGCACACGGAACATCACCACCACTGGAAAACAAAAACAAACCAGCGGGTCAACACACACAACTTTTTCACATGAAAGGTCGTTTTAGAAACATTTGTTTTATCACTGTTGAGTCCGATTTTTTTTACCGGCTTGGGATGTGACAGTGAAGAGTTTGCGCTCAGAAGGAGCACTGTTTTCCCGGACTGATTCATTTTGCGTTCGCTCACATTTCAGAGTCAAAACTGCTTTTGAGAGGCAACAGGTTTGCTCTATTTATATAACATTGTAACACTTGGCTCCGTCACCTCTTGACCATGGCGGAAGCGGCCCAGCAGCCACACCTGGTGGAAATCGACCCGGATTTTGAGCCCCTGTCGCGGCCCAGGTCGTGCACTTGGCCCTTGCCCCGGCCGGAATTCATCAACCCGGGGAACTCCAACACGTCGTCGCCGGTTCCATCTGTGAAGCAGGAGCCCACCGGTAACGCCGATTTCATCAACAACCTGAGTCTGCTGGAGGAGAGCGAGGACTTCACGGAACAGAAGCCTGTCATCCTGTGCACTGATTTCCAGTGCCAGGAGAACTGCGTCCACCAGCAACACCCGCATCAACAGCAGCAACATCAGCAGCATCAGCAGCAGCATTCGAACCCGCACCCACCGCAGCAGCAGCACACGCAGCAACCGG